TAAACCGAAGTATTGCTAAACGGAAAAATATTTGAGGAACGACAGGGGAAATTACGAAAATACGTCATGTGATGCATCGTTGGGATTTTCCCGGTAATGCGACGCGGTTTTGGATGAAAGGCTTTTAGTGGATTTCCAGTAACAGGGCCGCGCACGTCGCCGCAATGTCGTAATTAAAGTCGGTTAATCAGGTACAAAATCGTATCAAAGCCCACCGTTAACGACTGGAACAACTCTGGTCGCGTGACTACCGCCCACCTGGGGTACACCTCCGCTACCCCTCGTTCGATACACGCACGTGGGTTACAGAAAGCTCAAAAGTAACTGCACTTAAGCTAATGAAACAAGCACATGAAGGGAGCATTGGCTGACGGAAAACAAAAGATATCCCGCGGACGCGATATACCTAGATAAAATTCAATGGACCTCTCGTAAACGCGTCTTTCAGCACTCACGGCCGAGTTCCATTTCTCGCACCCGAGAGAATCGTGTATCTCGCGATACGTGTAATTATTACAAACGCCCGTCGTTACCCGGCCAACTCGCGCGTGAAGAAAGATAAGCCGAGGAATTCGGTACGAGGACATAGGTAGGTGGTTTCTAGTGCAGTGATTGACGAGCAAGAAGAGGGTTCGTTAACGCTAATTGCGTACAAATAAAACAAATATTCTTCGCGGATCGTGGACACGCGTGTCGATGATCATTAAGATTTCAGATAATTATTCGATGGCCCTTCATCTCTGAATAACAGAAAAAAGTGGCAATAGAGAGATACAATAAATTGGATGTTTATTGGCATCTTTATGATGTTAGAAGAGTACCAAGAACGACCTCGAGATTTCCAGGTAATAAATATCTAGAGATCTCTAGGTAATATAAAGCTCGATATTGAAAATTTCTCTTTGAACGATCACTTATCTCGGCCATCCCGAAGAATTAGTTCCCGCGCTGATTGTAATTAACTGCTTTAATCGAGAGGTCGTTAAAGGGGATCATTAAATTTTAACGGTGAGAGAAATACGCGGAAGGTAGACGCGAATCCACGATCGGCGAGAGTGGTACATCACATGGCACTCGGATGCAGGTCGATCGGTGGAATCGAAACGATAAAGCAAAAATATAGAGATCTCGCGATCAAGGACGATCCCACGATCAGGATCTCTTGACGAGGGTACCTGAGCCACACATGGGCCGGGCTGCTCGCAACTGCATTGCTGTTTTGCTCGTTAGCAGGGCTTTCCATCCAGTTCGTTGTACGCGCTTTCCTGATTGGTCAGACACTGATCAGACGGAAGGTTGTGGATGTGCATGATTCGAGTGGCGATCATGTCCATCGTTTTTTATGCTCTTCAACGCGTGATACCTCGCGCGATTGCAATTTCCAAAAGTTAGTTTCGTAATCTTGCGGTCTATAATCTTCGGCCGCTTATAAAAGGTAAGCGAAATAATGTATGGTAGTGTACTTTGCAATTTCTTCCAGCGATTTCTCGAAAGTTGCACTTGGCAGTTATTATGCAAAGTACTCTAGTACTTTACCAATACTTTCTTTTATCCGTTGATTTTCCTCATCAATTTACACTTGTACTAGAAATCTCGAGCTCCTTTATCTATCACATTTTGATATTCACTATCGAGTATCATTATAATTAATTATACAATATAATAATTAATTCTTATGTGAAAATTTTTAAAGTTCTACTTCCAATTAAATAAAAAAATAATTTTTTATTGTACTAATAAAATGTTAACTGTGTAAATTGATCAAAGGAATTCATTGACAAAAGAAAAAGCATAGGGAACCTAAAGCACCTCGTATACTCGAGAGAAGTATCGTAAAGTAATCAATGAGAAGAAAAAGTCATCGAAAAGACGCAAAAAGGCGTTTTAACAGTGCACAAGACTAATATTTTTCTTTCGACCTTTCTCTCATCGAATTGTATGGCAGTTTTCTTTCAATAAAAGCTTAAAAATAAGTAAAGCTACGTTTATATAATGATACTTATTATATACATGTGTACACCAATTTCACAAATCGAAATGGAAGTAGAGAAAAGTAAAGAGAAATTAGGCCAAAAGTTCCATCTCGCGCAGTGACGTAAATACAACATTAATGCTGTTAGTGACTAATTATCTGCAATTTCCGAATAAATTATATTATCAACTTTCGATATTCTAAGTAAGCTAAATTATATTCTCTGAATTCGAAATTTCCTTACCGTCTACTCTACAAGCTTCGGTAAAGGGCAACCTTTTCCTCAAATAAACTTTAATTACGATTCTGTCTCTCTCTCTGTATCCACTCTGTATCTCTCTTTGCGGAAATTATCTTGATTTTTCTTTAAGCACCCTCTCTTTCCTTCTGCATGACAAGATAAAAAACCGTTTCTTTCTCTTTACGCGCTCTCAGAGAGAAAGTCAATAAGAAAAAAGTATTGTACGGACGAGAAATGTACATCGTGCGGCGCGGTACAAAATCCATTAAACGATGCGTAGTTGGCGCGGATCGAAAACCGGAAGCGATGACGGCGCGGCGGAAAAACGTAAAGCGGAAAAAGAAATGGCGTGAGAGCTGGCGAATCCGTTCGCGAAACGTCAGCACGTATAAAGGTAAGAGGTTTATTATAACGGCCTCGTTTTCTCTTAATTCGCAACATGGTAAAATCGCGTGACGCAAAATAATATGCGCGTTTAATGGAACGCGGAACGTTCATACGCGGACCGAGCTTCGGCGCGGCGTTTAAGAAAAGACTCGCGCACTCACGACGATGTCAGATTTCAAACTGAGATATTGTTACGTGAGAACTCGTTTCAACCGCTGGAAATAAATTCTTGAAAATTTGCATACGGATTAAGCCGCACACCTATCGCGCGTACTATCGTCCCCGGCTTTATCTGCGAATCGTATATTAAAAATGTCAAGTACTTTCGCGCACTCGTAAATTCGTATATGGATACGAAAACGCTCTTCAGCAAATCGTAACGTACGATTAGCCCCCTTTTCGTGGACCTTCTCGTAGCGAAAGGTCGATAGCGTATTGATCGGCCGCGAGCATGTCGACGACCGGGCACTAGGTGAAAGCACGTCAATCTTGGTTAAAGGCCCGTACGGTAATTGCATAGACCCACGTGGTCCCGCGGAAACAGCGGGATTAATGGAAGGTTCCGCATATATCTGATACGCGTATGTATGCCAAACCCGAAAAAGTTGTACTTGTTGCTGCCACGAGTTCGCCGAAAACTCGGTAAATTGCAGGTCGCCGCGTCGATATCCGGAGGGACTTCGTCAGGTATGAAACCGTGACAGTGCTCGCCGAGGCAAGCAACGAATCGAGGGGAAGATTGCGAGAAAGGGATCAGCAAAAGAGTAAATTTGAAAGAAATTGGAAAGAAATTCTCAAGCTTATGATATCAAAAAAAGTTGTCGCGGTTAAGTAATCACGCTGGCAATTGCGTGATTGTGATTAGCAATTGGCGATTACTTTTCAACCAACCAGAGCAAAACAGCTTTGCTCCAACTGGTTGAAAAGTAATCGTCTATCGCCAACCGATCGCGCAATCGCTTATGTGATTTTTACTCGCCACTTCAGCCATTGTCGTCAAACTTAATGATAATAATTTTATTGATATGCAATCCATTATGGCCCGGTTTTTTATTATTTGGTTAACTTGTGGCTTAGACTTAACTTTACTTAACTTGATGATAACGTAAAAATTGTGATTTTTTTGGCAATTAATTATTAAATTAATGATTTTATAGTGATCACTTTAAATTAAATTAACAATTAATCAAGTTAAGCTTAACCAGCCTATAAAGGAAAGAAAATATACATCAAAACGCAAAATAAGACTTACTTCAAGATAATTACTTCCTTCGTGTCGCCTCTTTTCATCGTCGCGTGAGCCCCACTAGAATTCTTAATTCAGATTTCAGATTAAAAAACACGGCCAGGCTAATGATTTTAGATTCCATTCGCGTAGAACGAAGAGAAACACTCAGAGTTTCGAGAGGGTAACTTCGCAGTCTGGTTTCATTTGCTCAGAAATCCCTCCGTATCTTCGAGAGTCCCACGTGCCGTTTCTCGGTTACCTTTTATTGTGTGGAATTGCAACATCGAAACAATTCGCGGGACACATAACTGCGTAAAGCACGACAACGAAGTCGGAATGTACGTGCGGGCGCCGAGCCAGCAGCAAATTCGACAAGTTCGCAGACACACTCAATTAAAACTTCGTTCTGTCGTTCGCTCGACGAGGAGAAGCTCGACAGCTCTCGTTGATGATGGCTTCGCGTCTTTTTTTTTTTCTCTCACTATCGCGAATTCGACGTTGCGATCTGGTCGAGAGACACGGAAATAACCGTTTAGCGTAATTTCGTATTTATTATCGCTGCGTTTCTATTCTGTTCGAAATTTCACTTGGTGCTTTTATAGCCTCTGAAATATTCCTTAGCTTTAATCCGCATTCTTTTCGACCTCTGCCTACCTCTTTCATGGAATATTCCGATTTATCTTAGATTACATTCAGAACTCGTTGGTTAAAATTGGAGAAAAATCCGTTCTTCGAGCTTTCCTTTCTTTGCTCCGCGAGCAGACTTTTGGCAATCGCATCGCGCTCAGTGAATACCACGCGGTAAAGAGCGAACTGCCGTATATTTGTGGCAGAATTTCTCTTAATCTTGCGTACAGAAATCATGGCGCGATCAGAACGCAGTCATGCTGGCGTTCGAAGGGACGACCAGGAGCGAATTGGCGAACGGTAGATCGGAGATGCGACGGCGTGAATCGATCGATGGCGTCAAAGCTGACAAATTACAACGTCAGAATTTGCATGAATATTCTCACCGGCAACTGTCGCAGGTCGGATCTTCTGTTCGCTCGACATGATGTGTGACACCGATATACGTCAAACGTATTCCCATATCTCGTATATATGTACGATTACATACGTCAGCCATGCGATTTTCATCTACCGTAATCTAGCGGGATCGTGTCGTCACTTACCATATGGCAGCTCCAGCCGGCAGTCGATCAGAAGCGAGTGGCCCGTCGGTTTCTTCGTGCCGACGATCTCGTTGCCCCTTTGCTCCAATTCCAGGCCGAGACTGACCCACTGTCCGGTAGTCTCCTAAAAATCGGAAAATGCCATCCTTTAAACACAGATCCACTTTTTTTCCACGCCCGACAAAGTACTACCGCCGCACTATCCGGTGCTCATAAACTCTCGTTGCTAAAAGTTAAAATCGTTGCTGCGACATCCGCGTATCTCCACCCAGTCGCGGATAAGCCGCGCGGTACCTTCAGCGTTCGTGCACGAAATAATGAATTAATTAATACGGACCATTAGTCACGGTACCTTTAGCGTTACGTTACCCACGGCACGGAAAATATAATTCACTCGGAACGATCTCTCCCTCTCTGTATTCCGGCCAGTGCGTAACCCCCGAGAGCAGGTGCAATTGTTACATAAATATGAGCAGCCGCATAATTTATGTAATCGTCAAAGCCGTATTCTTTCCACGGCGTACGGAATTATGTCTATGAGCGCGCGGATGCGATATTGCACCACTGCGGAGATGATGTATCTTACGGACGTGCATGTGCAGTTTATGCACTGCCGGCACGAAGAGGACCGAAAGAAGGAAAGACGTATTCAATCCTCTCGACTGCACTTTTCCATTTTACTACTGGCGAGTAGTCGGACGAAAAATCGAGTGCAAATTGGACCGAGTGCGCGGCAAATCTAAGAAAATCTTGACTAAAATCAATAGACGGCGAGTGAAACTGTATAGCTACGGCTGCACAGTTCGATACCTATGTACATTTTTTTGTTGTCTTACATAGCACGTGACCGTAAAACAAAATATAGTTTCGAGCATCGATGGTTTAGCGGCTTAAAAGCTTTGTAACTATCGTAATTCAAACGAATCACGCCCGAGGGGCTTTTGTCTGTATCAATTTGAGTTCCTGCGCGATCTTTTCCTTCTAAAAATAAAAACTTTTTCCTCAATCACAGGGTGATACGTCGAACTGTTATGTATCGTGATGTGACTTTCTCGATCGAAAAAGTTGTGGCTGGCGGACGATTAGTTTGTAAATTATTCCCAAGTTTCGCAATCCTGGTTGTAAAATATCTTTAACAAGTTGACGAAGGCATAATTTAAACTCGCGAGAAAAACGAGCGACCGACTTATCCGCACTTTCGACGATGATTTAACGCAGGTAACTTTACTTCGCAAACACGCTTTACGTGCCACGCTGCCGATATCGGCAGAGACGAGGAAAACACTGGGATTGCACTATGTCTGGCGGCGAAAAAGTATTTTCTCGAAAACAAGATACAAATCCTGCGGCGGCGCCATGTCTCGGATAGATCTGTTTGTTCCGCAAAATTCGAAGAGAATTACGATCCGCGCGGAAAAGAAGTTGCGGCCAAATTTCAATGATGCGAAGAAAACATTGAAATAGATACTCTCTCACTGCCAAATAACGTCACTTAAACTTTGCTGTTGCTATCAGTTGGCTAAATAAACCAATTTTCTCTTGAACGCATTATGTTGCATATATATATATACGTCTGCATAGCATCATCAATTTTGTAGTGAATATCGCAGACGCAGCAGTAGGTAGTATTATTATAAACGAGATATTGTCATCTTGGGAGGACATTCTGTCCTCATTTGTGGCATGGAAAATAACGGCAACGATGCGATATTTTTGCAGTCGATACGTAAATGGCAGAGAATGGAAATTGCAGAAGATTATTCCCCAATACCGGCTTGTGATCTCAATTGGTCGGACGCGACGCTAAGATATAATCGGCTATTATTAGGGGTAGGTTGCATTTTGCCTTTGGAAATCAATAGACCATTAAAGACCAAAGCGAACATCCATCGGCCGACGTACGAAAACATCGATGGCAACAGAAATTCACCCTTTGTTCGTTATACATAACACGAAAATACAGAGATCGGAGTATCAATTTATATTCACCTACTGGCACGAATCTTTCTTCTTCCCGTGTCACGTAAATGTCGCATGTAAAATGTAAATTCTTCTCTCGGACATATTTCCTCGTGACGAGAACTCGCAATTTTAATGGACAGCGCGACAAATGAATTTTTCATTATTATGAGGAAAGTTAAAATTTTTTGCATTGGTAAAGCATAGATACGGGAAGATACCGTGGATAGTTTCGCCGTTAATGGTGTTAAAATAAGAAAGACAGCAGTTCAGGAGTACCGTGTGGTCGTTCGTTCCAGTTAATTCCGCCCTATTACGGTGCTACTGCGGGGGAGAGTTGAATTAGGTTAGAGACGGGAACTGTGACGCACCAATCGCCCCTACCTTTCTGGTTTCAATCTCTTTTCTCGCAACCCAACTTAATTAACGTATCTATCACATAGAAAAGGATAAGAAAGTGAGATACGCGTTCGCGTCTCTAGCGAGAAGGTGGTCGCGCTGTCGATCGATCGCTATCACTTATGACGGCTCAATATGCGCTTCTATCCAGCACCGAGAGAAGGATATGATTTCTCAACGATATTAGAACGGAGAAAACGAGTTTTCACGCAATTTATCGACTTTCATTACTGATAGAGTCGGCATGGAAAAAAAATCGCTCTTTTTTTTTTATACATTCAGCAAAATAATTTTTTATTCGTTCGAAAAGAAGAGCGCACGGTACATTGAAAAAAGTTGGTAATGGCTGCCAAATGTTGAGTAAAATAATTCCAATCAAATGTTCGGTTAACGCAATAAAAAATAATTTTTCTTTCCTAAATATTTCAGTAAGTATTACACAGAGGAAAGTCGCCGATACTGACATAGGTCTCCTAAAGTGACACCCTTTTATTTTTCGGAAACTAACTATTGCACTTTATTAATACTAATAAAATCATGATCTGTTTAGCTAATTAAAAAAGTACAAACTCATAATTCGTAAGTTTGTGGCTTGTTTCTATATCAAATCAGCTAAAAACGAATTCTACAAATACGAAAATAAAATTCTTACGATTTTCTTTTGCAAATTGCGAGGTTTAAATACACGGAGAGAATTTTTTCTTAGAATTTACCCTGAAAATATGACAGTCGTGGGACAACATTGTATTTCGAAGAATTTTAATATAAATCTCTCTCA